ACAAAGTCATGCYGCCTGCAGGGCCACAAAGCATCCTAAAGAGGAAAGATGCAGTAACTTTCCAGCCAAGGAGAAGTAGAGACCTGCTCAGAGATGACTAAGTGGATGGAGTCAGCCATCTGACCTAACCACAGTGCACCTGCTCTTGAGCGCTTTGCTGCAACCCTCAGTGCCCTCATCTCACCTTCCCTGGGCCACCACCTCAAGGCAYACACAAACCTTCTCACCATGCCCAGGGCGGCACCAGGATTCACAGCAGTGTAGGAGCACACATGCAGGAGAAGGGGCACAACTAGAAAGGGTAAAAGAAAGGGCAGAGCTCTGCTGTTGCTGCAAACGAAGGTAGAAGGGYAGTAGCCGCTTTCTAAAAGGGTTCACTGCCCAGCAGGAACCACAGCCCACAGTTTCCCCCAAGCACATGCACAGGCAGTGCTGCCACCAGAATGGTGTTCCAGGTCTATGTTCTCCGCTTCATTTTTATCAAGTAGTACCAGGACCATTTTGCCCTTTTGGCAGCAAGCTAACATAGGAAACTGCCTGCTCTTACAAGCACCCCAGAGGTACCAACACCAAAACACCTCTCACTAGGAGTTTCTGAAGTGAATGAAAAAAGAAAAGAAAAAAAAAAGTTAGACCATTTGGAAGGTGTAGGAAAGATGTATGGGAGCAAGAAGAAAAATTAATGACTCTGTCAGGAAATAGGAGGCAGCCCTGAGGCTATAAAAGATAGGAAAGCGTGATTATAGGAGAGGCAGCATCCAGCCCTGACAGTCCCCAGCAGAGTGGATAGGCTGGAGACCCAGAGCTAAGATATAGGAACTGTCAAGATGTGTTTCAGCATGTTTCCTCTAGAGCTGGAAATGCAGGTATAGGAACTGGGGCTGGCAGAAGTGAAYTAGGTTCATTCCCTGTCTGTGCAAAGCATCCAAGACATTCACCCTTCTGCAACAGCCCTCTGAAGACTTTTTTTGTTGTTTTGCTATTACCCCAGAAGAACCTTGGACTGCAAGAAGGGTTCTCTAAAGATATGACTGTGAGCAGAACCAGTCTAGGATGCAAGAGGGAAGTATTTCATCTCTTTCCACAGAGGCTGGTTTTGTAGCAAGTTACCATTTTCATTCTGCTGAACTCATGGGTCAAGCTGAGGTGGGGCTATGGTTATATTGGAAGCTTAGGGAAAGGGGGGCAGTTGGAGTCTCTGAAACTTTTGCTGAACAATAACAACAAATCTGAGTTAATGCATTCATTCATTCATTGCATCCATGTGCCTGAGCAGCTACAGAAAGTACAGGCACACAGATGATGAGATCTGCAGTTGTACCATAGTCTCCTTACAGGCTCATACCAGAGGTAGGGGCTACGCAATAAATGAGCAGCCAGATGTTCTCACACATCTGAATCTCACACAGCTGAATGCTAGCTCAGATGCCAGAACTATGAAGCTCTTTGCAATGAACTTTGCAAGTGAAAGTGGTTTATCAAGAAGATTTTAAGAGCAGCTGGGTTCATAATAATTTCTAACACTAATATTCTTTCTAGTGGACAACATCTACTAGATATCAAATACTGTTGGTGCCAGAGAAGACTTAATCCACACAACAATATTCCAAGAACATCAAAAGTCTGTATACGAGCCCATGATTTGCAAACGAACATCACTTCAGTTACTGAGGTGCTAGCTTGCGGTTGCACGTGTTGGARTCCCTTGGGCTTTTAAGCATGTGAGGAACAAGACAGCAACTGCCAGATTAAATTGTGATGCTATGCTGCTCTGACAGAAGAAGGTGAGGAAAAACCACAAGTCAACTTGTCTACACTGTGAAACCGACTGAAGCAGGTATTGGGAAACACAGTTGCCTGCTACTTTAAAGTGGCTTCTGGATGGACAACGCTCCAGGGAAGTCTCACTTGAGCTCAGAGGGCTTCAAAGACAACTCATTGTCCCTGGGTAAGTCTTCAGTTTCAGAATCATATCCCCAGTGAACAGCATTTTTAGTCAGTGTTCCGAGGTAAAAAAAGCCTTCACTCCTAGGCAAATTCTGTCTTTCTGAAGCAAGACAATTATACCCAACATCGTTAAAAACAAAATCTCCAATTCCAAAGTGCTTATACAAATAAGACTAAGATAGGAAAGGGAATAAACCCTTTGCAAATGCAGAAGAGCACAGGCCATACACCTCAATTATATGTTCAAAGGGAACAAAGCATCTTTCCTACTGCAACTCCAAAAATTAATTAGTCTCAGTTCTCATTAAATAATGATCCACTTCAACTCTAATTAAATTAGGCTGCCTTTGACAATCAGCTGCAGTCAGTTGCAGGCTAGTTATTGAAGGCACTTGGCTTCTTCTTTCTGCCTGTCTCACAGTTGTCAGAGGCAGGGAAGCTGCCAGGCACCTATAGCCCCAGCCCAATGCTCCTGAGCGCAACCAAAACACCCCAAAGCTCTGGACATGCAAGAAGCCTCCTGGACTTCAGGTCTTATKCTAGGGAAACTGTTCTATCAGGGAGATCCAACCTCCCTGCAAGCAAGACTACATGTGCTCAGCACCTACTCCTGTGTGATGAGCTCTTTGCCACAGCTGTGTTCAACCCCAGGTGCTCCACATTTCTCTGTGCCCTTCTCACTGGAAAGACCACATGGGGCTCACGGTTCAGCCTTGTCACAGCTGAGCAAGAAATCTTCTCTCCCTCACTCAAAAAGAAAAAAGCAAACACATTTTTTTTTATCCAAACCCTCCTCTGGCAGAAAGGTTCACAGTAATAACTACACGGTGTGCCAAAATGAGGAGGTTGTATAAGGGGGAAGTACAGACATATCTACTACTTCCATATACTCTCTCCTTTGGGCTGCTCTGCATTTGGCACCCACCAATCTGAATACTCCAACCCTTGGGATAAAAGAAAGACAGCATGATATGTATGCTCACCTTCTCCATGCCACTCACCATTTATGAGACTTATCACATTCCCCTTCTCCTCTTTTTTTTTTTTTTTTTTTTTTTTTTTTTTTGGAACCTGAGGATACCTCACCTAGTTAGTCATCCTTTCATGGAGAGTGCTTCATGTCTTCAAATTGCTTCTTATGAAATTTGACCAAGTTATTACATAAGGACCAACTCTAAAATTGCTGGGAAATGTGATAGCCCAGGAACCCAGGACAGAGAACACTAACATTTTTTTCCTCCCTGCTATAATTTACAAAGGGCAGGAGACAGAAGATAATGTTGAGTTAGGTAGATTGGAACTGTTTATAAAATCAGCAGTGGCAAGCCACAGATAAGCACTTCTGAGTTTGCACAATAATCTGTGTGCCAACAAAACACAGCTGGAGTAACCCTCTAAAATGAAGTCCAATTGTCCAGTAAACAGCCATAGGTTTCAGAAGCAGCACCATTAATTCAGTCTGACCTGAAAATGCTGCTTCTGGAAAGGAGCACACATTYATCTCCCTGGCACCTTTGTTTTCTGTTGATTCCACCTCCAATAATGACTATTGGGKGCCAGCCAACAGCAATTTTTGTTCAGTAAATGCTTGTTGTAAAAGAAGGACAAAAGGGCCTGCTGCTTCCCCCACTACKTATGTCACAGGCAAGTACTGCAGTTCCAAGCCCCACCAGATCTCCACACGCAGATCTGTGGAAGCTTGCAGTGTTCCAGCAAGTTAAAATTACCCTGAACTCCCTGCAATCTGAGAGCTGCCAAAGTGCCCCCACATTAAGGAGATTATGCAAAAATGTGAAATGCTCGAGTCATTTGAATTTGCCATGTGATGAGCGTGGAGGAAAGGGACATAACTGGACTGCTTTGGATGGTTCTGTAAAGCCTTCCAGATTGGGATTCAACCAGTACCAAGACATACACACATCCCTTAAGAGGTATCAGAGATAGAAAAGGGAAAAGAGCTGTGGTAGGGACAGCGTGCCTTGGCTCAGGTAGAGCCATTATCTGCATGAGTTACATCAGGAGACTACAGCTCTTCTCACCTGAAAAGAGCCTCTCAGATCGGTGAATGAAAGCCTTTCTTTAAAATGTATGTATGTAATGATGMTACATAAGAATGGGAGAATTTGGGGAGCAGGGCAAGCAGTATAAAGTACAGAAGATTTGGGCCAATAAGATTTGGGCCATTTTCTCAGGTACAAGTCAAAAGAARAAAGTGTTCCCTCTTTCCTGCAATACATGTGCAGAAGTCTCCAGAAGGCTGGTAAAGATGCCCCTCTTCAGGGACCAGATCATTGTAATAGCATGTGAAAGCTGCATTATCTCCTCCCCTCACAAAACTGTAGCTAATTCTCACCACTTATGCAGTATTTGCTAAACTTCTCTTAAAAAGTGCTGCTTTTACCAAATTTAAGATAATTTGTACCTGAGAGCATTTGTAAAATCTGAGAAGTACCTATTTGGGAGGGATGAGGCTCAAAAGAGGTACTGTATTTTTAGTAGACTGTAGGGAATTGATTCCTCAGTTACAGGGTCTGTCTAGCAAGGATTTTTGAGTGTTTATTGCTGTGTTGCATCCACAATATAATGCAGAAATGTAGCAAGGAAAAGAAAAAGATTAAAAAGAAAATAAATGCACTACCACCAGACAAAGCCCTAGGAAATCTGGCTTCATTGCCTCTGCCAATCATACAACTACTGCCTGTAGTTAAAACAGAAAAAAAAAAAATAAAAAAATCCATCCCAGCAGGAAAGGAAGGGAGCCTGGGAGCACGTTCATTTTACAAGCCTTTCTTTCCCACTTGCATGGGAGGGAAATGGAGCCGTGGCTCCGGTCCAGAAGGAAGCAACTCTAGACTCGTACTTCAAAGCCTGGGCTGAAGGGAAAGAGCAGGCCTGGCGACACAGAAAGTAAGCAGAGGGGTTCACAGAGCTTCCCCACTGTACGGCCAAGAGATGGAAGACAGGTTTTAGCCTCCTTGCAGCACTGGCAGCAGAGGCTTCAGCCTCACTGCAATGAAACTACCTACCAGCGTCAAGCTTTTGGAGAGACCCACCTCTGTATTGGAGCTGGACATTGCTCTGCTCTCCAGGGATTAGTCACAAGCATGTGTCCAGCTCCAGAGACACCCACACTGTCACTGAAAAAAAAGAAAAAAGTCATCAGTGGGCTGCAAGATTAGATACCTCAGAGATACAAACCTGGAGGAGCTACGACATGGGTGTGTTACTTTAGATGCCAAGTATTTTAAGTCAGTATCATTCCTTACTGCTGCATTAAAAGCAGACAGGGAAGGAGCAAACTGAATTCTCTAGCTGAAACAGAAATACAACTTCTCAAGACACAGAGAACAAATGTATAGTGGGCATATCCCAGATTCAGATCCAGGGGAGCACTGCTCCACAGTGAAGGCTCCCATTTGGATGGGGTGAAAGATTCACAGCAGACCTCTGGGAGTCAAAGCAAGCAGGACCAACCTATTGCCAAGCAACGCAGCTAAAACAAAAGTATCTGCCACCTTTTCTCCTACGTTTATCTCTGGATCCAATAACTTTTCAACACCAGTAAGAGAGAAACCCAGAGCTTGCATTTATGTAGTGATGACAAGCTCTAAGAGGTGGATTCTGCTCCTTACATTGTACACCTAAATCACGAGGGCTCCTGACTTTGTCTAATCAAAAGCCTTTTTCACCACAACACTCCAGCCTTCGTGTAAAATCAAGATAGTTCAGTTGCCAAATTTTCTCTGGGTAAACTACTGCTCCCCATATGCCAAGCTGAGTGAAAAGAAACAGTAACAAGTTTTAACATTTTTCTGTGCTATTAGTCAGAGGTGAGTTAAACCACTGAGGCTCAAGTTTTCCACAAATATTTAGCTTAATTAAGAAAGAAAAAAAATGCCTAGGAAATGTAACCAGATGCTTTAGAACTTGGACAGAAGATAGAAAAGCTAAGACAAYGTGAATTAGACCAAGCTCTCCTTCTATCCTAGAAAAAAGTTGTATCTCCACAACTGAGGTGTGGGTTTTTACAGAAGTTGTCGGTGCCCAGGCTTTGCAGAGTTCCCACACAAGAGGAACAAAAGCAAGAGTCTCTCATAACGCCCCACGATCATTTCTGCAAGGCAGTGCCTCGCCCAGTGCTTAGCAGGAAATTTCCCATTAACAAAAAGAGAAGGATGATGAATGAATGCTTAAATGCTCTCCAAACACACTTTCTAATTGTTTTAAACCATGCTAGTCACACAGAGATTTCGGGGGACTTGGGCTCTATGCCTTCACAACATTGTAGAACTGCTTGTGGCARTGCTTATTCTCACACTACACTGCATGCCATACAAACCATTTTGGTGACTTTGAGATGATGCTCTGGTTGGTTATTTCACATAACCCATGAAATCCATCATGAAAGCCCCAGAACAGATCCACATCCTATTGTTCCTCCTTTGTGATACAGCTTGTGCCAGAAAACAAACCTATTTTTCAGAGACAAATGCAAAGTCACATCTGATATGTTGCAACCAGCTCCCAAAAGCAACTCCACACTAAGGAACTTGTAGGAATTTCCCACTGACCACCTGCTCCTGAAACTGCAGGGGGAAATCCCACACACTCTGGGATGAAGGGAGTTCAGTTTAAAAAAAACAGCCCTTAACAATTGCAGCTGCAAGTTATTTTTAATTGAATTCAGATGATGAATGTGAACAAGATGATTTCAAGCTAGATAAGCAGGGAGATTCTTACTCTTGTCAAGAAGATACAGAGCATGTGCTCTGCCCAACTGGCCCGGGAGGCATTCTGTAGTTTGAACTCAGTCTTCCCCCTGCCTGCCCTCAAGTGATGTAAAGGTCCCCAAAAATCACCCTAGATTGAGTTAGCAATTGGTTCTAGTTGCCATCTCTGGCTGGGCATGAGGGGCCCTGAGAAACTCAGATCTGGTGTGTGGCTCTTCCTCTCCATGGACATTGCTGTCCTAAGCCCCAGACCCTCCGCTCTGCAGGACAGGGAGGAAGGATCTTCTCACATTTATGCACCACAATGCAATAGGTCTGATGTAGACCCCCCACAGCCTCAGCAGCATCACGGGAGCCCCTGTGCAATAGTTCCCCACTGGGGAAACAGGCACAGAATTTCCATTCTCCCATTTAGTCAACAATACTTTTATGTGCATGAGATGCTCTGAAGCCAGAAGGCAGCTAGGGGTTTTGATAGTGACCTGTGCTCAAACTAAATGCACACTCCCCCCACATTATGACATCTTTGTTTAGGCCCTGGCCTCATTTTATCTACATACATAATAGAAGCATAAAGAAGCAAAAATCCTTGCTAGGCTATTGTTATATGGAGATACAAATCAATTCACTCCATCAGAATTTAAATAGCACTCATTTCTACTCTAATGAAAAGAGTATTCATGCAATACATCCCTTTCCCTCAACCCCAGGGCAGATCTTTACAGGACATGTTCCATTAGAAAAAAATGAACCGTAAATTCCTGCACGCAAAAGAAAGAGGTGAGCAGAGCTGGAAAAAATAAAATCATGCTTAAAAGCATACACAGTGTTTCACAAGATAATTGCTGAACAAATAGAAAGCAGAGCCAGACAAATAAAACCAGTCTTTGCTACATTCTCATGATGATCTTAAGAGCATTTTAAGGTAAAAGGAAATGGAGCAGATGGATTCCTACTAAGTCATTTCCTGGTATCTCAAAGATGACTAAAAATAAAAATGGAGATTAGAAGCACTATGAAGCAGACACAAATCTTACAGATTRTGTACCTTCAGTATCAATACCTGTATGTTTGGAGAGAGACATACCTTGGCACAAGGTATAACCAGCCCATTTCTTAAGAGGCTCTCCAGCCACCACATAGCAGTCAAATGCAGTTAAGAGCCAGGGCTTAAGAGTCCTCTGCAGCTAGGGCTAGCATGTTCTCTCCAAACAGAGCTTTACAGACATACAGCAGCAGCCCGTGCTGTCCTTCTTTGTCTGCAGAGAAACATCAGCCAAATGAACAAATTCTGTAATGTCTTATTAAGAGTAAGAAAGGGCTCATTCACTAGTAAAATCAAACATTTTTCTGACACATTTTAAAAGCAAACCAATATCTAATTCAGAATTGCAATGACTGCCGGGGGACAGCTTAGAGACAAGAGCTCTGCCTTGAAATYACTGTGCAAAGAATGAGAGATACAAACTAAAATTGTGCATCCCATAGCAGTGTCCCTCATGGGAGCAGTGAACATCCTGCCCAAAGGGAACACCACAGGTACCCCGACAGGATGCATCCTGGCACAGCCCAGCACTCCGAGCAGCTGATCACTTTGCCAGTTTGCCTCCTGTGACCTTTTCAGAAACTGCAGGCGCTTCATTTTTATCTGGAGCGTAAGCTGATTTGTTGACTAACTCTTGAAGAAATTAGTAATCTTTATTTGAGTCAACAGTTACGCGGTTGCTTATGTCATCTTTCAAGGAAAAAAATATTGACACTCTTCTATTGTCAACAGTTCCAGAGGTAGACAAATATAGACAGACATAGAGTATCCAGATAACCTACCAACCTCTGCCAATTGCAGGAGAAAAATATAAATAGAAGGCCCTATGCCTTATGAATATGTGCTCTAGAGCAACAATTGCATGAAGAGCTCTGGAAGCAACTCCTGAGCTGAGTTTGCTCTCTCCTAGTGTATGCAGTCAGAGTTTATAGCTTCAACTGTATTTGTCAGAGACCTCATTAAAACTAGACTAATCCTGCTGTGAGCAGCTTCTCACCAAAATCTCTGGTCTGCTCTTTGCAGTTACGCTTACTAAGTTAGATACATAGATCCCCAGCCCAGTATCTTCCTCACATTTCAGGGTATATTTCCCTAGTCTTCACCACTCACCTCATTCACCTAAGAAAAACCATCACAACCATCGTTTGCTGTGGCCAGCAAATATCTAGAGTTACCCTCTCTCAAGCCTACCCTTTCTTACAAACCTCCTCCCATAGCTGTACCACCTGTAGCTCTTCCTCACCTGCCTAGTGCAAAAGTCATCCTTCAGTTACCTTCTCAAAGGGATCTTTCTCTAGGAACAGCTCTTTATATAGTCAGCCCACCATCTGCTTCCCAAGACACACGACCTGGGAGGAACTGATGTTTTAGTAAGTTACTCCTGTGGAAGGCTTTCTCAGAAGCTTCTCTCAAAATGTCCATTGCAAAAGCAGGCTAATCACTCTTCCTCCTAGAGCAGCTGGGACAAGGGCTGGGTCAGTGCCTGGAAGCCCTTTCAGAAATGAGTTGTGGCTAACACAACTACAAATATGAGAAGTCTTTTGTTGTGTCCCACTCAGCTCTCCTGCTTCTACTGCCGGGGCACCTGTTTTAGCGAGCTGGAAGGTTTTAAGCTCCAGGAGTGTCCGTTCAGTACCCTCATTAAGCCCAGATTTCCTTCTGGAATTCTATTAAAAAGGAAAGAGAGAGGAACTTTTCCCACTAATACTTGAAACAAGTAAGGAAAGACCTAAAGGAGAATCATTTGTAACATGACTTCTGTAGTGTGAACTGAATTCCAGGAGAATTGTTCACAACACAGAGGCATTAAATCTATTATGGCTGAGCACAGAAGACAGCTTCTTGACTTCAGATTCTCTACAATGTGCCCTGAGTACTCGTCCAGCTCTCCACAGTTGCCCGGCAGGAAAGATACTGCAAAGACCAATTTTATATGGACTCAAAATTGCTAGGACTGTCTTAAAGTTAAAGAGAAAATCCTCCATCTCTCCACTCAGCCCCTTGCTCTGTTTTCACTGAGTCAATTCAAAGGAAGACTATTCAATGTCTTTCCTCATAAAAACCACACAGACTCTCCAACAATGACAAGTGGCTCTCYATACTAACCACATGCATCCCCACAGCCCCTTCTTTCTAACATATTCTTGGCAAAGCTAAAGGGACACATTGGTTTGTGGTCCTGTAGGGAGTAAATCTCCAATGGATGCTTGAAGCCCACACCAGTCTAGAATTAGAGTGTGGAGTAAATATTGGCTGATTTTCAAATGATTAACCTCAGAGGAGGGCAGAGGTGCAGACATGCAAGAGAAAGATTTTAAGATATCAGTAA